CTCTCTCTCTCTCTCTCTTTTCAATCTCCATTGCATGAAATATACTCCTATATTATATGAAAATACAAACTTTATATTCACTAAAAATAATCTCTTCATTTGCAAATTTATTCCAAATTTAATTCTTCATATATTTCATGTTCTGTTTCCATGCATTTGCTCTTTGTCTCACCTAACATATGGTCAATATAAACAGAGGGAGGGTTTAAAGTCCATTGAGGCAGCTAAAAAACCACAACAATTAATCTCAAGTGAGAAAGGGTTTGATTCCACGATGTCAAGTTGAAATCTTGTTATTTTAAATCATTTTTCCAATTTTTTGAGGGATTGTCAATGTTGACTAAACCCTAGTTTTGCTTTGAAATGCTTGTAATTGATATAAACATGCATTTATAAAGGTCGCATGCACCTATAGTTTTCAACGTTGAAATTCCACTACGATAATCAAATATTAATGAGTTAAAACTATTGATGGATATTTTTTAAGATAATCTTGCGATGTCTTCATATAAACGATTGACTTGGTAACATTTACTCTTCATTCAAACAAATTATTTTCAAACTTTAGCAATGATTTCAAACACCCGTTTCACATTTCATATATATTAATATTTATCCACCAAATTAAGAATGTATAAAAAAATTTTAATAATGAATAAAATCCAAATGCTTTTCTATTCATTGGTGTTCCAATTCAACATCGATGTGGAGGACTCCATAACTGTTTTAATTATAAAATTGTCACATCTTTAGTGCTTTAAATGAAGTGAGATGGAATTTGTGCATGCTGGTTGTTATCTTTGAGGGTGAATATTTTGACTAAGATATAGGTATAATATAAATAAATATTCCAAAATAGCATAAAAATTCAGTTTCGGTTGCCCCCCTTGATTTTTGTTTTTGTCAAACCATTTGACAAAATGCAGTACTCCTGCTTGGTTTGGTAATTGGTCATGCTAATCACGCATGCACGTGCCACCCTTCATTTAGCTTGGAAACCTCCCACATTTCCATACGCAAAGTTTTATAGACTAGTATCTATATATATCCTATATTGCCTAATAACATGCTTTGGCGAAGATAGACTTATTGATTGTAATTTGCATATTTGGTTTGTGATTTAATAGTCTTCCATACAATTTTCCATAATAATTTTTGGTTAGGCAAAGGTACTTAGTAGGTGATTATATCCACTTGATTAGTAATAGCAGCAAATAGATACCGTTAATTAATAAAATACTTTAGTTAATTGGATAAAGACTAATGTTGCATAAAAGACGTTCATGTAAATGGCCATATAATATAACATAACAATTCCTTCTATTTCGGTTTTTCTATTGCTTCAGCATCTATATTAATAATAAAATCTCAATTATCCAAAAAAATCTTACTTCTTGTAAATAAAGAAAAATAGATATTAATAAAAATGTTGAGGTAGCATAAAAATAGACAATTAAATAAATTTAAAGTAATGTTTGTTACAAGATAGACGCAAAAGATTCGAATTCAATTGTTTAATATATATTATTAAGTTAAATGTCAAATCAAAATGTAAGATGTGATTATAATTTATAAATTAAATAGTCTAACTCTCCTATAAAATCCTAATTGAATGAACTTTTATATTTAATAAAACAAAAAGTTGATAATAGTAGCTTTATAAGCAATTGAGGAATTCAAAATTAATCGGTATTCTATTATGTTTTGAAGTATTCATTAAACCAAGACTTTAAAGCCGAGTAAAGCCAAAGCATGAGTTGTTTCAAAAAAGACAGACGCCAAAGCATGAGACCCTGAAAAGAAAAGAACAAAAGCACAGGAACCGAGCCGTTAAATCATAGAAAAAGGAAAACACGGAGAGGAAAATTAGGACGAGCTAAGGCATGGGCGGATGCGTAGTTTAAGTCCAACCTCATATGAGGCGCAAGTTAGCAAGGAGCTTACACGTAGGAGCTGGCCTGGTGACTTGTAAATACCAACTTGTTATTTGTGGAGTATAAAAGGCCCTCGCTCTGATGTATTTTCCGTGCTCTGGTTTTTGAAAACGTTTCAAAGCCAAGGCATAGCCAGCGAAGCGAAGCCTATTAGAATCAACCCACCACCAACAAAGAGAGAAGAACAAACAAACAACCAAGAAATCAAAACCATAAACAAAGAGAACAAGAGAGAGATTTGATTCTCTTCCTCTCACACCGTCGTCGTTTTGGCGGAGCCCCTGTTTCTTTTTTCTGGTTGGCATTTGGAGGAGAAAATGGCGGATTCGTACGTGTGGGGATGGATCTTGGGCTCCGTGATGACGCTGGTTGCGTTGTGCGGTGTCGTTTTGAAGAGATGGAAAGGGAACGGAATCTTTGCGACGAGGGCTGAGTCCGTGAAGAGCGTCTTCTCGATTAACGGAAAATGCAGATCCGCTGACGGTAGCGACGCTGATGTCATCATCGTTGGAGCTGGCGTTGCTGGCTCCGCCCTCGCTCACACTCTCGGCAAGGTGCTTTTTCACTCTTCCATTTTCCTTTACTTTCTACGCATTTTCTCGGTTTCCAAACAGTAACTAAAAGATTTCTTCATTTCTCGTTTTTCTCGTTCCATCTTTGAAGAAGTTTTAACTGATTTTTTCCTTCTTTTATTTTCTTTTGCCTTGGCTCCACGCCTGCACTTTCTCGAACCTTCCGCTGTTTAAAGCGCTATATCCTTTCTCTTCTTTTCATTTTATTTTTTTTTCTTTTCATGCGGGTTGTTTTTATGATTTTACAATCGTTTTTATGTACTTAGTTTCGATATGCTGCACCTTTTTAAATGTCCATTAGTATAAAAAACAGCTTATCTGCCATGGATTTTAGGAGTGATTTATGAGCTTTAGAATTATAAGTCAATATTTACCATTTTTAAAATTTCAATTATTAATTCATCTGCTTTTTTTTTTTTTAAAGCTTACTGATTACCACTGATTGACTTAGCAATCATAAAGCAGGCTCTTACCGAAATGGGCTTAAAAAGTGAACGAACCATCTGTTGATTTCTAATAGCAATTTGCAGACATGAGTGTCTACATAATTAGTCACTGTCAATTCAATATAATCTGGTGTAGAAAGATTGGCTAGGACAAAATAGGCATTTTTTTTGTTGTTGTAATAACATATACATATTACTGTTGGTTTCCAAGTTGCTTGTCCCTACTCCCCTGTACTTATAGTCTTCTGCGACCTCGATGGGATGCTGATTTAGCCACCAAATAGCAGTCCTTGCTCACAAATTTAGGCGTTCAGCCAAATTGACCTCTGCGCATGTTCTCTTTGTGCCCGTTCCTTGTTCTGATGTCCACTTTTTTCTATATATGATATCCTATTTAATTTATATAAGTGCAATTATCACATGCCTTCAACGGGCCCTTTGAATTGTTCTTTTTTTTTTTTGTTAATTATTAATATATGTAAATTCTGCATCCATTTTATCCCCAGGGATTAGCTGGCTTTCATAGTTTCAATGGGTTGCTCTTTTGTAAATTAAGCATCATCTCATATAAAATATTTTCAGTTGGATTTTGTTTTTAATAAAATATTTGCCACTGATTCTTATTGAAACTTATTTCAACTGTAAATTGATTGTGTGCTCCAAAGAACAGGATGGACGTCGAGTGCATGTGATTGAAAGAGACTTGACAGAGCCGGACCGTATTGTTGGGGAATTGCTACAACCAGGGGGCTATCTCAAGTTAATTGAGTTGGGACTTGAAGGTATTCATGATGTTAAAATTCCATGTTTGATTATGGATTTGTCGATATTTTATCTATTAATTGTCCTTGATACTTTCACATGTAACGGAATGAGTTCAATGAGCCTTCTGTATTTTCTTACTGCAGATTGTGTGGAGGAAATTGATGCTCAGCAGGTATTTGGTTATGCACTTTTCAAAGATGGGAAGCATACCCAACTTTCTTATCCCTTAGAAAAGTTCCACTCAGATGTATCTGGTAGGGGCTTTCATAATGGACGTTTCATACAGAGGATGCGGGAGAAATCAGCTTCTCTTCCCAAGTATGTGTTTTTCCCTTTTTAGATATTAAACAATTGTTTATTTGTTTTGTTCCTTGTATTCCTTGTTCAAACTATTGAGTGTTTAAAGGCAGTGACCTATAATGATGCTTCAATATTATGAAACTTTTAACTTCCTAGTGTAGCATTATGGTAACAAATAGTATTCACTGTCAAGGTAGTTATGCCTTTTTTCCCCATCTTTTACCAGTGTACGTTTGGAGCAAGGGACAGTTACTTCTCTACTTGAAGAAAAAGGAACAATTAGAGGAGTCCAGTACAAAACTAAAGATGGCAGGGAATTGACAGCATTTGCACCTCTGACCATTGTCTGTGATGGTTGTTTTTCAAACTTGCGTCGCTCCCTTTGCAACCCTAAGGTGAGTTGAGCGATAAACCTTTTTTGCTGGTCATTGAAAAAAATGCAAACTGCCAAATGCTCTTCTTCTTATTCCCATTTTAAGCGTTTAAAATAAAATAGTAATTTGAGAAATTAATAAGGCCAAAATTATAATCTGCAGGTAGATGTGCCCTCTTGTTTTGTGGGATTGGTCCTGGAGAATTGCAATCTTCCATACTCAAATCATGGGCATGTTATACTGGCAGATCCTTCCCCCATTTTGTTCTATCCTATCAGCAGCACAGAGGTTCGCTGTCTGGTTGATGTACCTGGTCAGAAGGTTCCTTCTATTGCAAATGGGGAGATGGCAAATTATCTGAAGACCGTTGTGGCTCCTCAGGTACTGCTCTTAGCTCTGAACATTTGAACCCAATATGGCTTTACTAATTTTTTGTAGAAGTCGGTTCTTTACTTGTGATATGTGAATTTATGTTTAATTTCTGTCTTATATTTAATGGTCTCTTGGATTGACAATGTGCTGCATATGTAACAGGTTCCTCCAGAAATCTACAATTCATTTGTAGCAGCTGTTGATAAGGGAAATATTAGGACAATGCCAAACAGGAGCATGCCAGCTGCTCCTCATCCCACTCCTGGAGCCCTATTAATGGGAGATGCATTCAACATGCGCCATCCGTTAACTGGTGGAGGAATGACTGTGGCACTATCTGATATTGTTGTCCTCCGGGATCTACTAAGGCCTCTGCGTGACCTCAATGATGCACCTACCCTCTGCAAATATCTTGAATCATTTTACACCTTGCGTAAGGTAAACTATACTTAATGTGTTGAGAATTCAAAATTTAACTAAACTTCATTTCAATGGTATAATTTTATATTACTGCATCAAACTCATTTGAATGTTACATTTTGCAGCCTGTAGCATCCACTATCAATACCTTGGCAGGTGCCTTGTATAAGGTGTTCTGTGCTTCACCTGATCAAGCAAGGAAAGAAATGCGTCAGGCTTGCTTCGATTATCTAAGCCTTGGCGGTGTATTCTCTACAGGACCTATCTCTTTGCTCTCTGGTTTGAACCCTCGCCCCCTGAGCTTGGTTCTGCATTTCTTTGCTGTGGCAATATATGGTGTTGGTCGTTTACTATTGCCGTTCCCTTCACCTAAGCGAATCTGGATTGGAGCTAGGTTGATCTCGGTGTGCATCTGATCCATGCCATTTTCTTTAATTTTGTCTTTTGGCAATGCTTGATATGATAACATCATCATTATATTTCTCATCTATCCATATTAATATTTTGTGTACTTATAAAATATTGTGATATGCTATAACAGGGAGCGTCAGGGATCATCTTCCCAATTATCAAGGCAGAAGGAGTTAGGCAAATGTTTTTCCCTGCAACTGTTCCTGCATATTACAGAGCTCCTCCTGTTGAGTGAGATCCAGATATGGAGAACGGAAATGCCACGACAAACTAGTTTGTAATTGCACTTGTCTTCCCCCTTTTCAAAGTAATGGGGAAGAGCAAATGCTCAACTAAGGACCTCATTCTTTAGGCTGTCCATAACGTTTTTTCCCCCTTATTTCCTCGAAAAAAAAAAAAAAGGAAAAGAAAAAGAAAAGAAAAATCCGAGATTAAAGTACATAATCTTTCCAAAATGGTGGAATGAATCTTGGAAGAGGAAATCTACTGCTGTTTTGACTATGATTTGTTAATTTAATTTTTATTAATATTAAGGACTTGTTCACAGTGCTTACGATTTACACATGCTCTTGGCAGTGTTGTCATCATACTTTTCTTACTTTCTTCTTATTTTGTTTGTCTTTGGGGGTAGGTGGGGGGAAGAGAGATTTGAATTCGGGACATCCTTTTCAGCCATTCATCATTCGTCATCTTATATAACAGCGTTGAAATAAGTTTTTAATATTTGAATTCATGGGATACTGCTCTTAGTGCCCGCTAGATTTCGGCTGGCTTGGTGGCCAAGATGTTATTAATCGGCCGAGAATAGACTAATCCTGTCCAGAGGAAGCGGTCAAGACTTTGTTCCCTGCTAACACCATGTTTGGTAGAGAAGGGAAAAGGAACCAAATAAAGTAGTTTCCTTAACGCTCCCTTTCTTTACTTCTTTCTCTCCTACAAAAGAAGGTGTAAACATGCATGCAACATTTGGCAGTATTAAATTGTAAATGGGAATGAATGAATGAATGCCTTTGCCAATCGCCTCGTTGAAATAATCTTATGCTTTGATATAAACAAGGAAGAATTCTCCCATGTGGTGCGTGATTTCAAGACCAGTGGTTTGTGAAGAAAAGAATAAATAAATAAAATTGACTCTCTTTTTTTTTTCACTCAATTAACCATAATAATAATGATCATGATAAGGAGAAAACATTGATATCACACTTCATGCTACTTTCCTGAAGAAAATAATATTGTTTTACCAAATTACCAAGAATTTAACTTTCATTCAGAGAAATTTAGGGTAAAGACATAGTAACTGTTTTGGAACAAACAAATCATTATTTTTCTCTACATGATTCAAGAAATTTTGAATGAGGGCTGTAAAAGCATGGTATCATGACTTTGGAAATTACATTACCACCCCCAGTATTACGCATGCACGAAAATAAAACAAAAAAAAAAATCACTATTTATCTCTTAGTAAAAACCTAGAAATACAACATCGGTATTAACTCGGTTAACTCCAAAAAATATTGATATGCAGTGAAGAGTGAACTCCACTCCAACCATAACGCAGAGGTAGAAGTATATGGTTTTTTTTAATATTTTACAGCCCCACTCTTGCTCTTCGCTTCCCCAACTCTTGTGGAGAACTAACCTAGTTTTTATAACCTCATGTTCTTCCTTTCTTGCTTTATAGCCTCGTAGGAGGTCATTACCTCTTTAAATTTTGCCTCAGCAGCTTCTGAAATATAACACAAGGAATAAACTTTAAATAAACAATTCAAAGTATTACTGTTAGGGTTATAAGTTTTCAGTAAGAACTGCCCAACACATCTCACCTTTATTATCCTGGTTCTGATCTGGGTGGAATTCTTTTGCCTTGGCCCTGAATGCTCTCTGTAAACAGACACAGATATCAGTTTATCATCACAGGCAGGACATGAAATACAGTAACGAGAGAATAAACCATAATTATTCCAGTTATTCTATCAAGTTCTTTGATTGGTATACTAATCCGTATAAAACAAGTAAGCATTAAATACTAACCAACTGTATATCAAGTAAGACATAATGATGGGAGACCAGCACACATCACAATAAACTAACCCTTAAATGAAAACTAGTCACAACGAGGGTCTTGCAGCAGTGTTCCAGCTACTGGAAGATGATATGGGTGTTGTACAAATGTGGTTCAGTCGCAACGTAATATATTAAAGAATAGTAGACCACTTAGTTAATGTGAGCACATATCCCAGAGTATTACAGGAGCAATTTGTGTGATTACTATGCTTTAAAACAAGCATCCACAAACTTAGACTATAAGACCTCCTAGTCTGACAAAATATTCTTAAGTAACAAAGTGATATGGTGATTTGATGAACATTAGCATAAATTAGCAATCTGTCTACCTTGAGAAGATTGAGGTATCAACTGCTAAGACAAGCACAGGTTTAATTTCACTGATCAATTATCCAATATAGGAATAAAGTTATAGCAAGCCATTTTTAAGTCAAGATGTACCAGAATATAGAAGTGTTTTAAAGATAATTCAGTATACCTTAATCTCATCTTCTGTATATGGTTTTGTCCTGGACCTGCATAAAGAAGGAAGCCAAAAATATGTCAATAATCATTGCTAAATTGTCAGTATAACTCTTGGCTATGCTAACAGGAATAGGATGGAAGAGCATTTATTAACCCTTATCACAGTAATAGCAGCATTACCTGTCAAGACCTAAAATAGAGTAGTGATGTGACAATGGATAGCTCGCACTATCTCTTTGAGGTCGCCTGTAATTGGTACTTTGATCTCTGTAAGATGTGTCTGTCTTCCAATACCAATCATCTCGCTGAAAGTGCTGATGATAAGCACCAGGACCATTTTCCTTCCAGCTCTCATAGCTCCTTTTGTATTTATTTCGCTCCCTGTTAAACACACTTTGCATACGCCTTATTCTCTCCTACAAAGAGAAGCAGTACCAATGCATCAAATCACAAAAGATTTTCTGCAAAAAATCACTATAGATAACTTCCACAGATATGACAGCACAAAATAGCAACACATGAAGTGGGGAAACAACAGATTCTACAGTCAAGTTTATATCTCCCAGAGATTCAAGTATTCCTAACATACAAGTTTTCATTATCATTTACTACTAAACGTTACAACTTATCACTCCTTAGAGATCATATATAACTGCCTATAACAATTCACAATTCAAAACAACCTAAACTAATGCTTTGAAAACAATGTTGCAAGATCTGTAAAAGTAATATGGTAGTAAAATATATAGTAAATATATAGAATGCTATAACATAACCAAAAACTTACCACTCTCTCCATTTCTTCCTCATACTCTTCTTGCATTCGACGATTATACCTTCTCCATGCTTCCTCCTGAAAGGATGTTCGAAAAGAACTGCCAGCTCCTCTCCGAGATGATTGTGACCTGGCTAACTTTCATGGTACAAATACACACATGATCAGACTGGCGAATACATAAAAGAGAAAAAAGAAATGCTAAATTCAACTATTTGAGGTATGAATTCACAATTTCCATTGTGTAGAATACTTGATTGTGATACCAAGATAATCAGTAATATCAACAAATAGAAAAGATTCACATAAAAGTTCAAGCAGTTAAACATAGAACGGCTCAAGAAGATTCTTAAAATCTGAAACTTACCAGCACAGAAAAACAGAGGTAATTATGGTTGATAAAATGCTCTCACGACTTTCAACACTGTCAGCAAATCATGGCAGCACTCGCAGTACAAATGCAATAACTTTGATTTCAAATAGACCCACAGAAGTAAATCTTTCTTGTTAAATACATTTTATCCTTGCTTTCAAAAGATTTATATCATCCCATTAAAAACCACTAGCTACAAGTCTAAATTTGTAGTTACAAAAGCAATTCAATCAACATCTTGATTAAATTAAAATACAAGAAAACAACTCAAAATTTGTAAGAAAAAGATCTCCTTCCACCATATTCTTTAAGAAAACAATGTCGATACTGATGATAAAGTATAAGGAGAGATTTTCGTTCGACAAGTTCACATTTCAACTATAGTAGCACGGAATTATCCATAGCTAAACCGTGAAAGATCTTTTTTTTTTTGGTGTACCTGAGTATATATCCAATCAACAGACCTCCTCAGCTGACTAACCTGCCAGATTGCAACTACAATCAAATTGGGAATTCTAACGATAGCTGCTCCCACCAAAACTAACTTAATTATTTCCATTCCCCCCCAAGAAAAAAACTTCCTTTTTTCTCAAAATTTTATTTAATGGCAATTAAATTTAAAAGAATAAAGGAAACACCAAAAGTGCAGATTGTTATAACAGAAAATATTTGAAAAGGATCAATTAAAATATGGAAAACGAATTCAACTTTGAAAGAGGTAATGGGAGAACTTACAGCGAAAGTGGTGGCGGTGGCGCCAATTAAACCAAAGAGGAAAATCCCCCAAAGTTTGGGGTCTTCGTCTTTCTCTTTATAAGCCCTGTTTGGAGACGACCATTGCTTACTCTTATTCCCGTCAGCATCTTCGCCTCCCATTTCTTTCGATTCCCCAATTTCCGAATATCGAAATTTCAACAATCCCTTTGCTTCAAATCAATTTCAATCCCAAACCCCAATCGCATGGTTAGGGCTTCTTATTGTTCTTCTACTTTTTTTTTCCGATGTTTATTGCAAACTTAACTTCTTTTCTTCACCGCCCTTGAATTTGATTCTCTGACTAAAGTCTGAGTTTTAGTAATAAAAGAGTTCTAAAACTTGATCAATTTCGCAACATGGTACACGTGGCAATCGTCTAATGGGCCTGAAAGGGATCTTAAGTTCCAGGCCGAAAATCAAGCCCTTATTGGGCCAGATCTATAAGGTTAAAATGGGCTTGAACGCATTTTGCAAACGGATTTTTTAATTTTCTCGTTAAGGAATCAAAACCGTTTGATGTCACGGGCGACTACACACGAACGGGCCTTTTCCCCCATAGCTTTTCTCTTCAGTCTTTACATCAAAATTTGATTAAATAAAAAATAAAACTGAGATCCGACTCTGCCTCTTCCCGCACAAAAATATGCGCGTTCTTCAATCTCCGTCTCTGGGTAATAATCATTCATTCCGTTAATTCTTTCTTTGAGATCTGCACATAAATTTTATTAATTCTACTAAATAATTTTCTGATGATTTAGCAATGTTGCAAACGATTCTTTCTTGATTGGTTTGAATCAGAATAGTTGAACAAAACAAGGAAAACCAAAATCAAAACAAAAATTCGTAGGCATGTCGAGGAGGCCAGTGAATCCCTCTAGACGATATGGAGACGCAGGCGGTGGAGCTTCTCTCTTTTCACAATCCAAATCTCGCTCTCCTCCTTTCCTCTCCATTGTTCTCATTGTCGTGGTACCTTTTTTTTTTCTTAAATTAATCTTGTCAGTTTTTTACTTATGTTCCGATAAATTTTTTTCCTTTTGTTTGATTTTTTATTTGTATATCTCTTTCCAGGGCGCATTGCTTATTGTTGTGTACTTCCATCGCGGCTCAGGTCAGTTTTTTCTGATTAGGCTCATTAATTAAGCAGTGATTAGTTATTGATCCATTTTGGATTTTTTATAATTTTTTCGATTCGCCTATTAGAACATATGTAGATAGATTGATTGAGCTTCATATTTTTTTTTTCTGCAATAGGTGGATTTGGAGGCATAAGGGAACCTGTCACTAGAGTTGAAGGTAAAATTGTTTTGCTTTAAAAAATTTTTGATGTTATCTAACGATATCGGTATTGCTGTTTATTTTCGCATTATAACAGCACAGCATTGCTACACATTTTCTTTGGATAGTTAGAATTGATTAGATTTGCTGACGCTATGTTTATAGATGCGAAATCTTAATGATATTCTACATTCTGTTTTTGACTAATTAAATGTTTTGGCCAAGGCATCCTTTCTTTATGCCTGTTGATATGCTATTATGCAAGAAGTGACCTTCAGTTTTAAGGTAGGATTTGATCTTCACGTGCAGGTGACTTTTCCTGCACATATGAGGTTCAACGGGCAATCCCCGTTTTGAAGAAAGCATATGGTGACAGCATGCATAAAGTTTTGCATGTTGGTCCTGATACTTGTTCAGTGGTTTCGAATTTGTTAAAAGAAGACGAAACTGAAGCTTGGGGTGTGGAACCATATGACATTGAGGATGCTGATACTAACTGCAAAGGACTGGTGCGTAACGGTGTTGTTCGTGTGTCTGACATCAAATTTCCTCTTCCGTACAGGCCAAAATCATTCCCTCTTGTAATTGTTTCGGATACATTAGATTACTTGTCTCCAAGATATCTCAACAAGACACTTCCAGATTTTGCAAGGGTATCGGCGGATGGAGTTGTATTATTTACAGGTAAAAGTTGCTTAGGTTTTATTCTGATTCCTAAACTTGCAGGTCATGTGCATTCCTATCCCATAATGATCTTTGTTTGCTTGCCGATAGTTTCAACCCCTTGCTATTTCATTTTTGCCAACTTTTGCCATTTTTCTAATGGTGGACTTCTGATTGATTCTTTGTTTTGATCTACTGCCAACCTTTACTCCTTATATGCTGTATGTATGTCATCAGGAACATTGTCCAGTCTGTGTTATAAATAAACATGCATTAAGCTTTTGTTGCAGTGTTTCTGTAGGTATATATGCGATGACAAAGAAATAATTTGAGCCTTTTGATATGCTGAGGACTTCTCTGATTGTTACCAATGTAGGTTTCCCAGGTCAGCGGAAAGCTAAAAATGCAGACGTGTCCAAATATGGAAGGGCGGTAAGTGGCTTTAACTATGTTTTTTAATTACTGCTTGATAATATAAATTGTTAAGCCTGGACAGTCACTAGGAACTTGGACACTGTCTGTATCCTTTTCTATTGGATAGGCCTGTTAAATGAATGTTATCAAGTAGAACTTTCAATTGTCAGTTGGCAGACTGGAGAACTTTGATAGCACTTCAATGACATAGAATCTAGTATCTAGATTCTAGTCAATTGTTTAAATTCTGTCAAAATTCCAAGTATAGCTTAAGGGGAAAGAATATTTGTTTGGCTGATGGTTTGGTTAAGCAGGTGTAGCGAGATGTGATTTGTTCATTGCTTGGGTGTGAGTGGTTGAGTGTTTCCATTCTTTGTGTTTTTCTTGGAGACCAGTTATGTGATGTTTTGTTTCTGTAATTTAGGAGCTATTTATTCTGGAGGTTTTGTTGTGTTTGTTATTTTGTGGAGTATCTTCTTGTTCTTCTTGTGACTCTCTCTTAATGAAATTTGTTTCATTTGGTTGATCAAAATAGAAAAATAAAGTACTTTCAATAAACTTGGATTTTGAGAAGACTGGTGCTTAGCTGCAGTTATTGCTCAAATGGTATATAATCATTGGCCTTTGAAAGTGATAAATTTCAAAATCTAAGCATACTGCCTGAAATGAAAGAGAATGAAAAAAAGATGTTATGTCCTAAAACGAAAATTTATCACTAAAACTTCATTGAGATGGATTGCTTTCAACATTTTGTCTTTATTATTTACTTTTGTTATCATTGTGAAGGTGGAGACAAAATTCAAGTAACTGAATTTCAACTAACAAATTTTCGGGTACTTGAGTTCAGAAAGAAATCAGCTAGGTCTCTTAATTCTGTCTCGCATGGAAGATGCTAAAAGAAGCTTATAATCGACAGGATACTGTGAATATATTACTGGTCTTGCTACAAAGAATATTATGAAATTTTACAGAGTACATCTTCCCCAAGTTGTTCTTGGAAGTGTTTTCTTTATCAGCAATGAGCTTTGGTTAAGCCCAGCAGAAGTTTTATAATGAACTACAATATAGAAACTATTATCATGTGTTCTTTTGGTATAGATTACAATTAGCATTTTATGATTTTTATATATAAAATATCAGGAACTTGAAGTATAATCTGTCATTAAGGTTAAAACAATTCTCGTACTTGGACCTTGGTCTTGTTGTGGCATGTAGGGCATACCCTTTATTATTTTTCAGCTAGTTTGAAGCAAATTTATTTTTTAAGCTTTTAGTCTTATTGGCTGAATTATTATTGAGAGGTGGGACCCTAAATTTGAAGAGCATCTTGTTTCCTCCATTGCTGAATGGACCATGCATTTTTTATTTTTCTGTCGTGTGGATTAGTATGGAGAATTGTGGAGATGGGTTCCTTGATTTCCTTGTAATTGATAGGTGTAGATGTATGTGTATGTATGCATGCAAGCTTATTTTCTGTACCTAAAACAAGAATTAGGAAAATCTGGATACCTTTGGTTAATGTTCACCACCTTAAGATTGTATAACTGAATAGCTAATAGGTTGCCTTTACCAATTAAAGTTTCTACATATATATATATATATATATATATTAAGAGTTGAAAGTAAGACTAAATGGTGTTTGATTTCTGCAATTTGAGTTATCTTAACATCATTTTAATCATTAACCGAAACGTGTACTAATATACACATTTTATGTAAAAAAAAAGGGCTGAGACATTCAACTAGTCCTTGTGTTTTGAGATTTAACGAATGGTATTTATTAAATTGTCTTTTCCTTATCATATATTAGTAAATTTTTATACATAGGATAAATAAATGTGACATGCTGAAGTTATCTCTCTTTTTTTGAAGGCTAAATTGAGGAGCTCGTCTTGGTGGGCACGATTTTTTGTCCAGACTAGCTTAGAAGAAAATGAAGTTGTCACCAAGAAGTTCAGGCAGGCAGCAGAAAAGAACTCATACAACCCCAGTTGCCAAATTTTTCACCTAAGGTCATACAATTGATTTGTTTACATTGTTTCTTCACATTATGGAGTTCCAATGGTGCAGCTGATCATTTAGCTCCTTTCTTAAGCAAAATGTTCAGTAGGGTAGTTTAAGTTTTGGTATAAAATATTTATTTTGCTATCATTAGCCTACTTTTTGAATTCCATCCAGTACATGATGTATTCTTTCATTGATCTTACTTTGAATCAAAGCATTTCTAGTTCTAGTCTTGTAGCTCCAACACAAGCTGAAATGCCTACTAGCCTTGTAGCTCCAACACAAGCTGAAATGCCTACTAGCCTTGTAGCTCCGTTGGTATAATGGTATTCGGAAGTACTAGTGTTTTTTCCCCTACCAACATGAAAAGACAGTTATTCCTAATACAGGTTTCGCCAGACATTTCTACCTTGCTTCACTTCTTCAACATGTGGCCCAATCATCTGGGCTTCTAGCAACAAAGAATGTTTTAACCCCATCACCTCACTTTCTAATTTAGTGCTGTCTGCTTAGGGTGTCCATGAGCAGTCTGTAAAGTTATTACCTAGGCTAGAAACTTTATGGTAGGTCTGGTCTCGTGGTCCATTACTGTTTTTTGTGGATGGAATAAGAGCTTGATGTCTCCAAATTGAACGTAGATTAGACCCATATGCCAGTGATGATGTTCCCCTTAACCATCCCCTCAGCGTCTAAACCGTACCGGACGTCAAAATCTTGCCAGTGTAACTAATTGAACATTTTCTCTTGACCATTTGTTTTTGCTTAAATCTCAATGTCTAAAGTCAGTTACTTGGCTTAAAACATGGCGATCTCACCATATGCCACAAGATTCAAGTGGCTGCTGCTGTTTTCCTGTCCCTGGAAATCTCGCTTGTTGCTTTAAGCTGATATCATTTCTTTCAAAACCCAAGAGCTTCAGGATTTTATTTTGGTCAGACATTTTCGGTTTAATATAAAAGGGAGTTGTATATTTGATCGAAAACCTAGTCTTTCACTCCTATCTATATTTGACATAATAAGATCGGGCCAAAATCCAATCAATAAAAAACAAAAGACGGTAGTGATTTTTTTTGTTTTAAAAAAAAAGCTCTGTACTAGAGTAATGGTTGACAGTGGAAGTTCGCCTTTGGGGTGGTAGAGGTTTTCTGCTTTCTGCAACTCGTGAAAGGTATTGAAGCTTGACTTTCTCTTCATCTTAACCTACATTCAATTATTCATAGGCTTGAACATACGTTAATGCCCTTGTCAACATCTAGAATGATGCTTCTTTTTATCGTGTTTCTCAAGAACTCAGAGCTGTAAAATGTCAAAGACAAAAGAGTACTTAAAAATATAACCCCAAAGCACGCAGAAATATTAAAAGTCGTAGCTAGCAGTGGATCAGACAGAGAGAAAGAGAGAGATACATCACTTTCAATACGGCCTGGACTGTTCCTCATATGGAATGCCATAAATAAAGACAATTTTATGCATGGCCCTGGATTCTTTGTTGTTTCTCCAAACAAAAGCCAAATAATTAGAACTTTCCCACAAAGTCACAACTATAAAAATCTTTGACTGATTGGGTGAACAAAGCGTGCCTTCAGGAGCAGTTTGTCTCCCTCATAAGCGAGTGAAGATAGTAAAGTTATGTTCAATGGTCTGATATAAACGAAGCATGGATAGGACAATGTATAATGGGACCTAGAATTTTTTGTTTCCATGTTGGCGGCTTAATGTTTCCATCTGTAGTATGCTTTTATAGGGCCTATAATTTCAGTCTGTCGGAAGTTCCTTCTTCATCTTCTTCTCTTCTAGTCATATATATATATATATACACTTCGACGATGAATGGTGTAGCGATCAATCAACAAGGCCTGACGGAGTCTCCTTATTATGATCTGTGTTCGAATGTATTAATCAAGTATATGTATGCATCTACATGCATGATGCATGCAAAACATCGTGAAGCTAAAAGTATGTAATGCACCCATGCATGTACCTTATACAGTATATAACATCCATTCTGGTGTATCACTGGATGGAAATTGTCATGGCCATGCCGATGCGACCATGCCTCCCTGGAAGGCAATTATTTGTTCCGGGGATTGTTGACTAGTAGCAGTTTCCATCGCTAGGCCATAGTTCTGTCACACCAACCTGGTTACCATAAAAGTAGTTGAGAACATGTAATGCAAGCCGAAAACAATGTTAATGTTTTTTATCTGTTTCAATCATAATGCATGGGTAAACATTATATATAATCCCTGAATTTAAATGGCTACCGAAAGCAAAAAGAGGAGGGTTCTTGGATACATGTTGATAAGGCATAGGCTGATCAAAGAATCATGAGCTACGTTCACATCAGCATTCTAATTGGTTTTTACATGATTTTCCAAGTTACTGTCAGAATTTTTATTTACCCTTTCAACATAACTACAGCCTAAAGGGAGAATAAAGAAGAGAAATGTGTTGATGCATGTAAAATATGTTTAGATAGACGACAAATTAAACAAGTTCATGTAAAATGTTTAAAGAGATTATGTTGATTGAGAGACCAAATCCAACTTTAATCAGCGTTCTCATACATTGTGGAAAAGGGCATGCATCTCAAAAAGGCGATGACTCAGTATATTAACCAAGCTTGTGAACGACCAGATTAGCATGTCGACCAATGCTTCCCATCCCATGACATTCACGGGTTCCTGGAAATACCAGTTCCAAGTAGCAATAATTAGGTCACTGTTGTCTAGTAAGAAAAACTGTTACAAACATCTCTGACTTCAAAAGGGATGATTCGTTCAAACCTTATACTCATAATGGCAAATATCAACTAATTGACTGCAAATTGTTCATCGTTCAATCTCAAATTTCCACCATATAACCAGTTATTGGGGCGGTGCCCAGGGAGTTGCGATTTTTGACAGTCTGCGATCGATGTTTCCACCATGCTGATCTCAGGACTCAGGAATTTTGATCTACAGCTTTTAAGATGTCAATAAAAATGATCACCATCTTACCATAATTTCCATCCATATGATCAAGCATGGTCATTCATATTTGCATCAAATCAGTTTCCCAGGGAAAAAACCAGCTTTGTTCTGTCAAATATTACAACTCGATCGAGAACTGCTATATTGATGAATATTTGTCAGGACCCTTTTTGACTTTGTGCTCCGCTGTACTGTAGTTCCTAATTGTTACACTACCATATCTTTTTTCAAACGTAAAAACAACAGATTTTCAAACTTCAGACTGCAATGTTGCCAAAATATTGGTGAAGCTATACAGTCTGGAAAAAGCTAGGAAGAGACCTACTTTCCATGTTCCATTCATTAATGTATGTGTTCAAATTTTCAAATGGTGCCAAAGCAAGCAAGTGCAGTACATGGAAAAATCGATTTAGCTTTCTCTAGTAAAGTCAATCTTGGAAGTTCGAAGTCTCTATACCATTAAGTTATAGCATGAACCAAAAACCATTCCATATCTGTTCGTAACTCAAATCTATCAGTTTGGTAGATGTAACTTTCAGGTTTCAGGCATGAGCCTATAGCCAATTAGAATAAGAAATGGAGTAGGGAGAGAACAATAAGAGTCCACATTATTGGAAGGCAACAAGGCAAATGGTCCATGCTTATGTCCATGAGGCAGTGGCGTGTGACCCATGAGGCAAGACCGAATGGGCTTCATGTTGGCTGTCACCAATTTCACAGAAAGACGAGGGTCATTTCTGGGTCCCATAGAGTCTTTACTACAATTGTTTTTGTTTCCACATGATCAAATAAACCTTCTTCCACTACAAGCCCACGTGCCTTCTTCCAATTATGACATCCTTTTCTTGTGTCTAATTAGAAACCGTGTAGACATATCTAAACAGGGAACCAAAATTGATTCAATTCGGTTAATTTGTTCTCGAAGGGTGAGTAATATACTGTAATGGTGAATGAACTCCTTTTTTCCTTCTAGCTTCACTCGTATTTGCCTTTTTGGTATTTCGTCCTTTTTTTTTTTGTTGGAAACACAAGTGGCATATGCTCATCGACTCTTCTCTATCCCAAAAAAGGGGGCCATCAGCCACGTACTGATCAAATAATGGTACCGAAACTATGAAAAGACAGTCCCTAAAAAGAAATGCTGATACTTGTTCAAGTGGTTGTTTCAGAATGCAGATAGGTGCTTTCTTATCCCGATTTCCATAGGTTGGCAGAGGCTTTCTTTCCTTTGAACTTTAAAAGCTGATATAAGTGGGAATAGTCTACACTTTTATTGATCCAAATTCCAAAAGTCCCAACTTGCCAACTGTTTGTACTAGAGAGAGCTTGAAACACTTGGGATTTGGAGAAAGGACCAGAATTCTCACGTTAAAAAGAAAACAGAAGTGAATAAATTCTATTCAAAGACTACTCCAAAGTTTTTATGAATCATAGATATGTTTTGTGTAACGTATTGGTATATCATAGTTAATTCAGAAATGGTAAAAGTCGGGAAAAGGCCCCCACTTGCTTATAAAATGTGTAGTGAAAGTGTTACCTAGGCCGCTGCCGTACTACTCATAAAAGAGCTTACCGTCCAATGGTGGGTTTGGGATGCAAACAATTACTCCATGTTTTTGTCTGAATTGACAACTTATTCTTTCCAAGAGTCAGTTTCAATTACAAAGATTGAAATTTGCCCCCAAGGTGCGAGTATGGGTTTGACCCCCCAAAACCCAAAGAACCCCACTTATATCATACTTAATCCAAAACAAGATAAGGGTGGGGTGAGACGAAAATCATCTCTTATTCAAAAATTCCAACTTGCCCAATTAAATTGGAAATGAAGCTTCCAACTGTACACTGCAAAACCGCGTCAATGGTTTTCATTTTCAGTGTAGCTCATTATGATGGTTACCACTTCCAAGATCAATTGTCTTTGTCTGCATAAAAATTTCAAAACCGGTCTATTTTAAACAAGAATCTGATCATCACGCAGGCCTGTTTAGAGCCTCTACTTTAGAAATATTATGATTTTATCAGATTCTCTAACGTCTTAACACCCAATATGAAATTAATTAGTGGAAATTGCGTGCGGTCTTACTTGTTAATTGTTTCTTCTGCATGCAATAACATATATATTCTCTCCTCTCTGAGCTGTTCCTCACTCTCGAGAACGCGGCATTCCCCCCTGAGACGGTGAAGGAGACGACAATCAAGACATTTGTCCCTCATTATCCTGGAAACTCCACCATGGAATTTGAGGCAGTTGGTGAGGGAGAAAAAAAGATATAGTAATGCTTGTGAGGAGCAAACGTCTTTGCCATGGCATCATATACACCTATTTTCCACATAAATTTTTGTAGGAAGATGTTGACACAACCTGTTTGCTATTGAAGCTGATAGGAACATACGACACGCATTGATCATATTTATATATTAACTTATACACATTGATAATATCAGGAAAAGGATACCACTTTGCCACCGGTTTCGTTTAGTCAAGCTTTTTAATCACTTTGTCAAGGAAGTATATTAAGATGTTCATTGTCAGTTTATTGTAGCAGAAAGTATTAATGACATCATATATGTATATATGTATATAACAATCTTATGCATAAGATAATTTATCTACGTTTATAATCCAAAAAGCTCACATTATTGGGACCATGTGATTGGTTGCAACCATAACAAATTTTTGCCCTTGATTATCCTGGAGAGAGCAGGTAAATTCCGTTCCATTTATAATTAAATTAAGCTGATATTTGGGGATGGGCAGACACAGAAGATGGCCGACATGAATTTGAGGTCTGGGAGTATCAGGTGGGCCAAGTCACAGTCCTGGTAAGAACTCGCACTTTCGAAAGGATTCTTCCCAACGTTAGCAATCAGGTGATCCCTGGACCACAATTGTCCCGTATCTTCAATCCGCCACCTGGCGTATCAGCCAATAATCGGAGCTTTTCGCCTGTTTTGCTGTGCATTGCAACGTGATTCTGGTGATGTCCCATGGTGGTCCATGGACCACCTGAAATTCTGGATGGCTTCTCTGCCTGCGCCACTGCCCTATATATACAGCGATTTGGCCTTAACCTTTGATGATTAGAAAGTGTCATCAACTAAGATGGATCCTTATTTCTTTTACGGCGATACCAATTAAAGATGATAAAGCTCCCTAATCATTGTTACACGTACGATATTAATTGATAAATTTTACTTATGTAACGAATCATTTCAAATGAAAAGATTACTTTAGTTAATTACTATTTATTAGGTTATGAGTAAAATAATCTGATGATCGTCATGAGGGTGAATAATTAAAAACATGAATTTTGATACAAGGGAAGTGGTTTCCACTGATTCAGTGGAGCCCAAGACTGAAATTAAAAAGCCTTGATGTGGAAGTCAGTGACTCACTTAAGCGCGAGGATGCTCTCTGTCAACTAATTAATAGCCTGGGCGGGAATGTCGGTATGCT